TAAATAAGGGTCGGTCCCACGATGAGAGTGAATCAAATTGTGAATTTTCTCGTATTAATTGATTTTATAAAAGCAATAAAAGAGGAGGGTGAGGAGAATTGTGATTTAATAGCTAAACTAATTAAAATCCTAATGAAACTAATAAAATCTAAACAATGAAAACAAAAAGAAAATTAAATAAATTAAGAAAATTTTTTAGTTCACAGATCCGTCTATGCCCTCGCTATACTAGTTTAACTAATTTTGACATCAAGTTTCACTATTTTCTGAAATTACCAGCTCTAGATAGCATCACGCTCTGCAACCTGAATTTTTCTTTACTGTTTATTTAACCGAGAGACGTTCTTCGATTAAACCTGACTTATTACAGTCTAGAACACGCTCTCTAGATATAAACAATAGCCACTTTAGGATCTAGAAAATTAGGCTAGTCTACGTTGTAAACACAACCGCGCGGTTCACTTAAATAGATTGTGTTATCCCCGACAGTTATCGGCTTTCGGTTGCTACTTGCGAATTAAACTCAACAACAATTACAGATTAAGGTATAACTCTAGCTATAGAGATGAAAAGCCTAATCTAGATGATCAATCTAAATAAGACTCGACAAATCTAAATTAATCAATAAAAATAACATGCACAATTCTAAAAAGATAACTTGATTATCAACCACGAATATTAATTAAATATCGTCAAATCGGAGGATTCGACTTCCCCGGAACTAGAAATAAAAGTACTTGCCATAATAAATACGAAATAAAAAGAGAAGAATAAAATTATCCTTCCCCTGTGCGGGTGCAAGTGCGGTCTCCCTCCGCAATTTGTTGGGTTCTCGCGTCTCTATCTCTCCTCTCTGTTGCGATGAATGTGTGTCTTCTTTTCTCCAAAAGTGTCTAGCGGCTGCCCCCTGTTTTCTCTTCCTCCAATTAAATTTTTAGGTCTGCTACGTGATTTTAAATTAATTGTAACTCTACCATACAAGTATAAATAATTGTGTCTCTACCTAAAAGACTTTATTTATCTATATTAATGTCTAAAGTCAGTTATCATATCCTTTCAACCTCCATCCCCTTTTTATGCTTGATTAAGAGAGAGAAATGAAAACATGCACATAATAAATAACTGACTTCTTTTAATTCCTTAATTCGCGCAGCTTGTATATTTTTATAGAGAGAGATAAAAACATGTATTGTAATTCACTCAACTGTCCAGTTGGGTATATATTGCATTTATGTTAGTATATATTCAGTATATGTTGCGACGAAAAACATGTCTTCCATAAAAGAATTATGTCTTCTTGTTTTTTTTTTAATTGAATATTTTTTAGTATATGTTGAGTTTACGTGTTGTTTAATTTACTTTTATGCTTTGTAAACAGTTTTACTAAAAAATAAACCATACATATATACAACAAATCAATAAAAGTAAAAAACATAAAAGTATATATATAGTTTATAAACATATTATAACAAGTTACTTATATTCAGTAAATGTTGCAATAATCTTCTAATATACCAAAACAACAAAAAAGAACAAATTGCTCCTTGCCAATTTCGTTTTCAACAAAAAAACCTTTTAGTACACCAAACATAAACTATGAACATTGAAACAAAAAAAAAAACATCCATTCACAAACTATTTTACATAAACTAATATACCAAACATAAACTAAGATGTACAATAATTGTACATATCGCTAAGATGTACATATATTGGACATATACTACCTATACACGCTATATATACTGAACATATAACGAACGATTTGGTTAGGGTTTTATCTGATATCTAATTTTCAACCAAAAAGTAACCGCAAAGAACTTCACTCCTTTTTGGATCAGGAAGAACCGCATCACGGCAGGCAACACATTCTGCATTATATAAAAGCACAAAAATTAAGAAAATTCATAGAGTAAATTATCAGAAATCTCGCGAATTACCTCAGGGGAATAAGCAAAGATTCACATAAAGCTTATTTAAATTTCACAAAATAAATAAAGAAATAAAAACATCAAATGCCAAAAAGAAGAACAAGCAAAATCATTAATCCCTCAAAGAAAGAAGAACAAGCAATACTATTCGCACAAATATAAATATATGTTCGAGAAGCGCTTCAACATTGTTAGAATATCACTAGTGAGTTGTCCCACATCGTTCATATATGGAAAATAGACTCACCATATAAGACTAATGGGCTACTCTTCCTTCCACCAATTGGTTTTGGGATGGAACCTCATTTGGGCTTCATATGGGCTTTTCCCTTCTTTCATGGTGTCCTTCATGGTAGTGGGCCAGCACCCATTTTCCCCCAGTTTCTGTCATGGTATCAGAGTCGGTTCTATCTTGGACCGTGTGATGAGCACCCATTTTCCCCCAGTTTCTGTCATGGTATCAGAGTCGATTCTATCTTGGACCGTGTGATGACGTACCCATTGTTTATCCCCCACGTACCCGTTTATGGGAGCCTGTTTGTAGTAGAGCTTGGGGCACCCAGCCCAGTTTGGCTTGGGCTTTCGAAGGACTCACAAGTGAAGGGGACCGTGTGATGACGTACCCATTGTTTATCCCTCACGTACCCGTTTATGGGAGCCTGTTTGTAGTAGGGCTTGGGGCACCCAGCCCAGTTGGGCTTGGGGTTTCGAAGGACTCACAAATGAGGGGACGTGTTAGAATATCACTTGTGAGTTGTCCCACATCGTTCATATATAGAAAATAGACCCACCTGCCTGTTTGTAGTAGAGCTTGGGGCACCCAGCCCAGTTTGGTTTGGGCTTTCGAAGGACTCACAAGTGAAGGGGACCGTGTGATGACGTACCCATTGTTTATCCCTCACGTACCCGTTTATGGGAGCCTGTTTGTAGTAGGGCTTGAGGCACCCAGCCCAGTTGGGCTTGGGGTTTCGAAGGACTCACAAATGAGGGGACGTGTTAGAATATCACTTGTGAGTTGTCCCACATCCTTCATATATAGAAAATAGACCCACCTTATAAGACTAATGGCTACTCCTCCTCTCACCAATTGATTTTGGGATGGAACCCCATTTGGGCTTCATATGGGCTTTTCCCTTCTTTCATGTGTCCTTCATGGTAGTGGGTCAGCACCCATTTTCCCCCAGTTTCTGTCAAACATTTTGGTCATAAAGAATATGATGAATAAAGAAAATCAAGACATATATTGCTTGTTTTTTACCTAACGTAATATGGATGAGATTTGAGGGTTTGGGTTAATTAAGGATGTAAATTCTCCCGAAATTAAAGATTTAAATTCCATTAAGGATATCAGGTATAATTGTAATATTTTTAACTTGATTTAGTAATTTTATAAATTCCTCATGANATAACTAAATTTATTAGTACAATGCCGTGAGCTACACGGATGTTTCATAAAAAATTTATTGTCCGACAAAAAGTGAAAAAATGAAATTCGTATTGTGAAAGAAAAAACTATAAATAATTAATAAGAAAGTTATTTTTTAATATTATTTCAAACTATAAATAATGTTTTTATGAAGTATTATTTGTTTTTATTTAATATATAATTATTTTTTGACAAAATTAATAGAATAATTAATTTACTGACAGTTAATAACACCTCTCAATATCACAGGCGCTTCAAAGTTAAATATTTTTATCAAAATAAAGAATTGGAGAAACATATATTCTTATAGTACAATGATAATAAATTAAATATAAAACTAATAAATAAATAAAACAAAATTAAATATTTAAAATAGTACTCTTATTTTATATTCAACTTGTCAAAATGATTTAATTTTTTCAAGTTGATTATATTGTAAGTATATTTTATATTTATACATTTTTCCTCCCTGATCTAATATTTTTTAAAATATTTTCAATTATATATTCAACAAGTTAAAATATAATGTGTATAAGTGTAATATTTTAAACATTATGAATAAAATAATTATTTTTATAATTTTAAATGTATTATTTATTTACTTTTTTTTTCACGATCATAATGTTCAATTTCTATGTAATATTTATCTAAGTCGAAACATAAACTTTTAGAATATTTTCTACTAATTTGATTTTCGTACTTAGCTTATATATTTGTTTTCAAATAAAATAGCTATATCATGTTAATACACATAAATTTCTATTGCTTTATAAGATAAAATATAATTTTATTTGATATATTTTAATCTAGTTTGATAAATAATTTTAGATATTATTTATAAGTCAATATATCACTATTTTGTATTATATATATACAAATATTGATGTCAAATCGAAGATCGTTAAAAGATAAATAATTTGATATATCATATATAAAAAATAAAATACACAAAAAAAGTTATAAAATTTTAAAAAATAAGAAGAGTCAACATTTATAACAATTTATGTATGAATTAAATAAGAAAATAAAATGTAATATATGGTAATGTAGGAAAAAGAAACTTAAAATAGTTTATCGCAACTAATTGTAGAAGAAAAATAAGAAAGATATCAATTAGGATTTAATGTGAATCATATAGACATTAAATGAAATCAAAACCTACTTATTTTTTATTAAAAATATTAATTTATATACAAGTCTGACTTCATGGTTTTTTGCCACATAAGATTACGAAGCGTGAGAACATGTCATTTAGGCTCAACGCATTCTGAAATTATATATCGAGAGTGGATTGTCTTTTATGTTAAAAAAAATATGTTTGTATATGAAGTTATTATGAGTGTTGAGATTTTATGAAACTCTTCTCTTCACGTCTTTAAAGAAGAGGAATTCAGAGGGCAAGTAGGGAAAAATTACAATAATATGAGAAATGATAAGTTAACTAACATGCATAATATATGTAAAGAGCTAAAGCATCTTCCCAAAAGTTGTGTATGGTGAAAAATTATTTTGTTAACAAGCAGAGTTGAAAAGATTTTTAGAAAACACTGCATAGTATAGTCATTTTGTAAAGCTTTAGAGAGCGCCTTTTGTTGTGGTAAAAAAAAATGCAAACAAAAAGTACAAAATTATGATTGATAATTATCAATTAATTAACAAAATTAATAGAGTGAGTAAAAATTAAATTACAGTCGACTATATCCAAACAACATACGAAATTTATTTTCAAACCTCAACATGGACACAACAAAACTATCTGTTTTAAATTGTGAGTTACAAGCTTATTTAGACAATTTATGAAAGTCAAACTTTGTCAAAATTTATGCAACATAAGCTTCATTAATATCAAATTTAATAAAAATTTATATATATATATATATATATATATATATATATATAAATTGGACTGATCATTTTCTTTCAAGACACGACAAATGTTGACAAGATTTGAGACTAAATTTGAGTCGGTTGTGCAGACGAGTCGCTATCTGTGTCGTGTATTCATAGCACTAGACACGAGTCGCTATCTGTGTCGTGTATTCATAGCACAGTACACAAGCCATTTTATCAGCAAGTGAAAAGATACAGAATGGCAGCAAGCTTCAGAAGCTTTAATCCTTACAGAACTTAATAATCTGTAAGTAGCTATCTTTTCTTGATCTTCTTTTTTTTCTTTTTTTGTATCTTTCGGTTTATGATGATCTTTGGCTTCAGGCTCGTTCTATGTTTGTTGTAGAACAAGATTCAGTTGTTGTGCATACCTTGCTACGGTACCTCCTCTCCTGCCACACAAATAAACAATACAAAAAAAGATAAAAAAATAAAAAAATAAAAATTATATAGTGAAGAAAAACAAAAGCAGAATGCAACAAACACTCACTTCACCAAATCCGGCAAAATCTTTTGCACGTTCTGAAGATGGGAATAGCACTGCTTGCAGCATTCGAGCCTGCCATTAGGGACCTAAGATTAAAAAAAAAAAAGCATATATACTGTTAAAAACATCTGCTCGATCGGAATTTGTTTATTACCTCTCTTCTGCATGAAGATTAACTCCCACTGCTCGAGGACCTGAAACTGTGGTACGAATTACAGTGCCAAAAACGGCCACGAGCTTCAAAAGCATTTCCAACGAGACACTAGCATGCCTATAAAGGGCACAACACAAAAAAATAATACAGGTCTTACAATTTGTACTGTTTAAATAAGAAAAAAAAAAAAAGAACTCTAAATGAAAACCATATTTTGATAAAGTTCACCTTTCAGCTTTGCTGTCCAATAAACTTAAAAGCACTGGCAGTAAGCAAGAAAACAAGTCTAGTGTAATAACCTCCATCTTATCCAAGAGCACACCTATTACATCTGCTTGTACCTGCAGACATGGAATAATTTTTCAAGAAAAAAAAAAGGCTAAAAAAATACTGTGTTTTTAATTTTTTACATAAAAGAATACCCACAGAATGATCGGGCAACTTCCTAACAGCACTTATAGCTCCTTTGACATCTTTTCTTCCCCAGAAATGCCTCACCACCTGTATCGACAACCAACAAATGATTACAATATCTAACGTCTAAAAATGAAGAGTTTTTCGTAACAAACATTCTTTGAAATTATTATTACCTGTAACTTTGTTAGCCGAGACCTGAATGTACTCAACAGCACATCATGACTCTGCATTAGGTTTTCAATGAATGCATTTTCATCCGAAGCTGAAGCTGATTGCTCTCTCATATCAATTTTTCGGTCATCATTCTGCAACACAAATAAGTACATTGAAAAAATATTGAACATGGTGTAACAAGTTAAGCTTGACTAATAATGTACAAATCGGGTTTATTTTACCTGTGACGAGGGTGCAGGTGGGGATGCAGATGGGGATATGGGCCGAATGGGTGGTGTTTGTGTGTCCATAGGCCCAATAACAACATCAGATGGCCCATTGGCCGTGTGAATTTCATCCACTTCAACCTTTTCCTTTCTCTCAAACCTTTCGACTAAGCTTCGTGTCCTTCCATGCACAATGGCCACTGTCAAAAGTCAAAACCAGAAAAAGTATATAAAAATATTTATGGATCCTTCATTTTAGATTAGAAAGTAAACCCGTAGAACAGTATATCGACCTCCATTGACAACTTTAACAGGATTCGCTGATTTACTCAAACTCAATCCCTGATCATCTGAGAGAGAGAGAGAGAGAGCGAGCAATATATCAATTTCGGCAGTGAAAAAATCGATCAATTTGATCATAAACAATTCTACTGTTCACATCAGCTTGCATAAAATGAAGTGCTGAGAGGACAGATTTTTCCAGAGACGAAAATAAANNACAGCAAACTATACCTGATGATGTGGCCGGTGAAGAAGGCCTATCAAACTTCTCATCAACACTCTTTATATCCGATCTTTTCACCTCGGACAATTCCTTGGCATTATTTTCATCAGCAACTGGCCTGTTATTACAAATGTTCTTGTCCTTTTTACTACCGTCAAAAGCGCTTTTCACACTACTATCTTGAGGTACGAAGTCAAGTGAAGCCGACATTCTTTTGATATCAATCCGGCTGGCCGATAACCTCCGAGCATGAGTCGGCTTCAAAGACGTGCCCCCGACTGCCCTAACCGATGACATGGACTCCCTTCTAGAAGCTACCGGAACTTTCCCATCAGGTCCATCACGAGGCACAATGTTAGGTGTGACGAGAGATCTATTGGCCCGTTTTTGGACTCCAACGGTTTTGATTTCCTCTGTCTTTGGAGTGACGGACTTCACTCCTGCAGCTTCGCAAAGCGTAAAATGGTAAAATTACTGATCTTAACGATAAGAGGAGTAAATTGTAAAAGAAACACCGCAATTGGACTTACGGTCAACGTATATAGTTTTGATGTCCTTGGAATCAGTGTCGGGCGTGGTTGACCGAACGCTCGACTTTGACTTGATATGGCTTTCCTCTTTCTGTTGAATGTTTGCATTGCTGTTGCATTTGGGATCCATTTTTGTCCCATATGGCTCGATAAGCTAAGATTGAGATAGGAACAAGATATAATAGTAATTCAAGAATTAAATGTAAATAATACAAATGGGGGATTGAAGATAAGTTTTGAGAAGGGCAAAAAATACCGAGATGTCTGCAACCCAAACTGCGACTGAGTTTTCATAATATGCACCGCCCAAAAGTTTCCCGTCATGAATGCAAAGATCTCCAAGTGATGACCATCCCATATCGATTGAATCATGGCAAATTACAGGCTCCCATGAGTAAACCTGCAGTTTAAGAGAGATGGGCCATTTGAAAAATGTTTTTTTTTTT